AACAGTGCTGCTTTTGCATCTCTTTTTGATGTCACTGAGTCTTACCATCTTGTCAAGTCTACTGTTCCAGCCATTGTTTTACATTGAATGTATTGTATGTGTGCAATATCTTCAATAAAAGCCACCTATTCGTTGTAAAAAGTCAAAAGACTTGATGAAGTCATTTTTTTCTGTTTATGTAACGCAGACATATTAGGCTGGAGTTGCTTAAAATCTTCAGGGTTTGCTGTAGATGAGCACAGGATGGTATGAATTAGGTATGTTTCAGAATGGTGCCTGGGGGTCTGGTGTGGCTAGCTCTCTTGCTGAAAAAAATGGGTTTAAAAAATATAATAGGAATGGCTAAACTTTCTGACACTGAGGACCACTTAGTGGTACTACAATCTTCCAGGTGTACCCCTCAGAGGGACGGGAGGAGGACATCTCCAGGGGCAGCCCACAGATGAGAAGTGAGTGTCTCCCAACATCTTGTTGCTCTGCGGTAGGATGGGTCTCAGCCAGACATGCGGAAAGGTTTCATGATCCTCCCGACTTGTGTCCTCCCACAGACAGAGTAAAATGGCCCCAAATCTTTCATGCCTCCAAGCTATGGAGCTGTATTTTTGTCGATCTTAAGCCATATTTTGGCCAGTCTTGACCACGGTGGAGAATAAGAAGAAACGGGCAGTGTTCACCTTGGAAGGGTGAAGCAGCAGAAGGTATTGGGACAGGATTACACCCCAGAACTGGCCTGTTTCTGCCTGCTGCTCAGCACTTCACACTTCAGACGAATCCAGGATTAGTGTCTTTTTCTATTCTGCTCTACACATAACAGTACCTGAGAAAAGAATAATGAGGGAGGATCTCCATAAAAAAATGGAAAGAGAGAAGGGAAGATTCCTGAGGGGAGGATTCCCAGGCCACTATTTGTTTTGTGCTGTGCTAGTTATTTTACCGAGGATCCCAGTGGGCCCTTGTGCAGGGTGAAATACTGTTCAGCAAACCTCCTCCAGAACCTCTGCCTTAGCGTTGGCACAGCAGGTCTTGGGATGGAGGTCCCATTTGCGTTGAGATAGCACCCTTTGCTCAAAATATCTAAGGTTTAACCTAGTGCTTGTAGCCAACTATTGTTAGAGGAAAGATTAACATAAGGGAACAAACAAAACTTTCAGCAGAAAAGCCTAGAAAAGAGCTTTGCTGGAGAGATGCTTAGCTTGCAGGATCCTTGCACAGCACTGTTCCCATTCTGAAAACTTCCAGAGTTTCTCCCTCGATGTCTATTCTTCCTGGCTACAGCCATTCTCCGAAACAGCAAAAGCCCAAGAAGCCTCTGCCACAGCAAGCAATCGTTCAGGGGGGACAACCAGGGAGGAAATGTGTGGGAGATTTATTAGCACATTTATTAGCACAGCTGGAGACCACGGTGGAGTGAGGTTTGCCATGCATTTGGTGCAGCTCCATCACCCAGTTCAGCAGAACTTCATCTGCCGCCCTGTTTGCTTCCCAACCTGTGTAGCTGGAGCATACCAAGCAGATGCTCAAGATTTGGAAACCTCTATATAAGGTACTGTCTTTTAGGAACATATGTTCAAAAGCCTTTCTGACTGCCTCTGGGAACGGGAAACTTAATTGTACAGTTTAGCATCTGTGTGAGAGAAAAAAGAGATAGATGAACCACTTAAAGTTGCTAATTCCTATTCTGTGATGCCCTGAGCTCTCCAATTCCTACCACGGGATCACTTAGAGTACTTACCAATGGATTTGTTTCCTATGAGGCACAGGAAGAGCAGCATGAGACATATCAGAAGCATCTCTTGGAGAGGAGAGAAGGAGGAGAGAAGGATGGGAAGGGGAGGGGAAGGGGAAAATGGGAGATGGAGAGAGGGAGAGAGAGAGGGAAGAGGAAGGGGAAGAGAAAGGGGGAGAAGAGAAGGAGAAAGAAGGAGAAGAGAAGGAAGGCCATTCCTTTCACCTCCATCTGGTTCCCACTGCCCCCTCCTCCCATCCTGAGCCCTCTCTGAGCCCTGCGCTGTGCATCTCCTCTGCCTGAGGAAACTCTCCGGTTACCCTCCCTCACGTGGAGCCATGCTGCAGTCCCTGCGGCACTCTGTGGCTTTGTCCACGCTATAATTAAAAGAGGGATAAGGACAGTTCTCTGTCCTATAGACACTTGTTGCTTCTTGGCCACATCCACATCTATCCTTTCTTCCTTTCCTAACCAGGATGGTTTTACTCCACAGCCCAGTGGACATTATTCCCCGGCTGGTGCTACCCCCTCATTCATGCCTGGGCACTGCCTGGAGCAGGGATAGCTGGCAGCAGCCAGGGATCTCCCTGGAGGCAAGGAACGGGTTAACGGTGTGGATGATGGTGGGATGAGGCTCCAGCCATGTCCTGCTCACTTTAGTACAGCATAGCTTGTATGACTCCAAGTACAGCAAGTGCCTGCCCAGAACGACTGACTTAGCCAGGACCTGGGCATATTTATAAAGAACAGGAGAGCTACAAGCAGGTACAGCTTTTCTGCTTACAAGTGATGACAAACAGCTAGAAAAAAAACCCAAAACACATTTGATCAAATCATCAATTAAGATGAATTTTAATTTTGGTTCAAAAATGCTTTGAGATTGAGTGATGTCTTGTGTTTTTAATTTTTCTTTTATCTTTTCTCTCTGAAGTAATATTTTGGCTTGACATATACTTTTTTCTAGTAAGATGATATGGAAAAATGGCTACATATTCAAAATGGCTCAGAGGGCTTTTGAGGAGGTATATGTATTCCCCTCTCACTGCCACATCGCAGGAGGGAGCAGTGGAGAGATGGATGTCCCATTGCCTGCCCCATCCTGGGAAGCTGGTCTCAGACAAATTTTGGCTCCATGGGACAAATCTGGTCAATGTTTATGAGCATTTACTGAGATCAGTTGCTGTGGCTGCTGCTAGTGGTCCTCTGGCTTGGATGGTTTTGCTGTCTGAATGTGCTTGCCTCCTGTTAAATGCAGTTACTGAGGCTTGCTGGTGGGAGGATCCCCCTAGGAAAATAAATCTGGCTTTACTGATGTTTTTAAAGTCAGGGATCCAGTTTTCCTCTCTACAGAAAGCAAGGTCCTTACAGTATCTGGTCTTCATCCCACCAGCAATCCAAAATCATTAGTCACTTCTGAAAACGTTGATGTATTTATCGATGCCAAAGAACTAAAGATGAACTGAAACATCCAGGGATTATTTACTTTGTGTGGCTGTCTCTCAGTCCCATTCTCTCAAAAGAAGTGACTAGGATGGCAGACATTTTACAGTGGGACTCATACGGTAATTACACTTCAGTGGCTGGCAGGTAAGTTGGCTCAGATACTTGTTGGCAATTACTAAAGCGCTTTGTTCATTCAGCTTGAATCTTATTGGAAGTAGTTTGCTGAAAATTTCATCACTAGAATAGCTTTTAGACAACTTGCAAGTAACAGTCCGCCTACGCTACAAATTGTGTATAAAAAGCTAGAGTATGACTCTTATTTGTTATAGACTCAAGATGGAAAAACCCCACATCAGGGAAATAAATCATGATTGCTATTTTAGGATAAGGGCTTCACCACAGATGTGCAGTAAAAAAACTAGAACATTTTCACAACCAAATGTTACTTTTTAAAATAACTGTATTAATAGCCTGCAGAGCCTGCCATAAAAACATTCTTCATCCTTGTTTTACATGGATGGGGCATGAAAGAACTACCCAGAGCGCTCAGTACCGCTGCAGACAGCAGTTAGGTGCTTGACCGTGCTGGGCAGGGGGCGGTGGGTTTATTCCAGCGCAGGTACAGCCAGCTGCTGACTTGCTGCCTGATCCACGGGGGTGGATGGATGAAGTCCCACAGCACCCAGGGGGTCCAGCTTAATCCCCCTCTTCTCTTCGGCGGCGAGTCAGGCAGGGTCTGCACCCCTGTCCCAAACTCGCCCAGGCCAGGCTGGGCTGTGCAGCGCTGGGGCTCTGACACTGCCGTTCCATCAGCCTTTGACTCCATCCCAACACTTGTCAAACCCCGATATTTTTAAAAATCTGATCCCAGAGAACAGATAGGCACCTAAAGCACAGGCTCTTGCATATCTTCTCAGCCGTTCTCCTTGGATCGCAGCACTCCTGGAAAGTTTACAGATACAGAAAAAGGTGAACAATCAGAATCTTTTTCTCTACAGATATTCTGATATTTCCACACGTGTTTTCAGGCAGAAAAGATGAAAATCCAACTTGTGTGTGCAAACAAACAACGATGCGTGTCTCACTGTGCGTGTCTGCAGCCCTTGGGACCGGCGGAGGCAGCACGGGCAGTTTCACCGAGTACATTTCGGCAGGGCAGCACAGCACATATGGAAAACCTCAAGCAGAACTGAAGTTTAACAGGAAGCACTAAAAATCTGCTCTTTTTCCTTTTTTTTTTTTAACTTTACCCTTTAAAAAGAAAAGAAAACAAGTTCGCTGTTGAGTTTATAGTTTAAAGAGTTGATTTTACAGTGTTCTGCATTTAAGAGAACTCAAGCAATTCCTGTTCAAATTCAAACACCACCATTTTGTGGCTGGCTCTGTTCGGCAGGGCAGCACAGCACATATGGAAAACCTCAAGCAGAACTGAAGTTTAACAGGAAGCACTAAAAATCTGCTCTTTTTCCTTTTTTTTTTTTAACTTTACCCTTTAAAAAGAAAAGAAAACAAGTTCGCTGTTGAGTTTATAGTTTAAAGAGTTGATTTTACAGTGTTCTGCATTTAAGAGAACTCAAGCAATTCCTGTTCAAATTCAAACCCCACCATTTTGTGGCTGCCTCTGTTATCGTATAGAGCCATAGTGGGGTAAAGCAATAAGAGAGGAGCTCTCGGTACCAGTATGGCAGCTACAAGATTCCCTTGCATTTCACAGGCACAGCCCCGTGGGATTCACAGTCATGGGAAAGGATTTCTAAAGCTGCTCTTTCTCTCTCCCTTGCAGCAGGGGATGTGCCGTGGCATAGCATGACTGCTCTTCACGCCACGTGCCATGCCCTTCCCCAACAGCTCTGACCTCAGCCCGTCCTTCTTCGTCTTGGCCAGCATCCCGGGGCTGGAGGCCGCCCATTTCTGGATGGCGATCCTTCTGTGCTCCATGTACATCTTGGCGGTCATGGGCAACTGCGCGGTGCTCTTCATCGTGAAGACGGAGCCCAGCCTGCACGCTCCCATGTACTTCTTTCTCTGCATGCTGGCTGCCATCGACCTCGCCTTGTCCACGTCCCCGGTGCCACGCGTCCTCTCATTCTACTGGTTCGACACCAGGGAGATCAGCTTCGGCGCTTGCCTTGTCCAGATGTTCTTCATCCACACCCTCTCGGCCATTGAATCCACTGTCCTCCTGGCCATGGCCGTGGACCGGTACGTGGCAATCTGCCACCCGCTGAGGCACGCTGCCATCCTCACCAACGCTGCAACAGCAAAAATAGGGCTAGTAGCCATGGCCAGGGGAGTTATCTTCTTTCTGCCTTTGCCTCTGCTCCTCCTGCCCCTTCCCTTCTGCAGTTCCCGGGTGCTGTCACACTCCTTCTGCCTGCACCAGGACGTGATGAACCTGGCCTGCGCCAACACCACCCCCAGCGTGGTGTATGGCCTCACTGCCATCCTGCTGGTCATGGGATTGGATGCCATCCTCATCTGCTTCTCCTACATCCTCATCCTCAAGGCTGTCTTGCGGCTGGCGTCATGGAAGGAGAGGCTCAAGGTGTTCAGCACCTGTATTGCCCACGTCTGCGTGGTCCTGGCCTTCTACGTGCCCCTGATTGGGCTGTCCGTGGTGCACAGGTTTGGGAAGGACCTGGCTCCACTGGTTCATATCATCATGGGGAACATCTACATCCTGGCGCCTGCCTTGCTCAACCCCATCATCTATGGGGTGAGGACCAAGCAGATACAGAGGAGGATCCTGAATTTAATTCGTATATACAGCGACAGAACTGCCCAGTGACCTGTGCTCGACTGCTGTGTGCTGTATCTTCACACCAGCGCATCTTGTTTTTTAGAGTCTTTGGTGCAGGCCGGTCCTCTGTTTGTATGGCACCTAGCACATGGTAGGAGACTCAGAGGTGCTACCACAAGGCAAAAAGTAAATAGCAATTGTAAACTCCTTCCAAGAGTGTTTACTCTCACCAAACTTGGAGACAATCTACTGCAATGATCTAAATCCAACCCTGATCCAGCAGGTAGTGCAATGGGAAGGAAAAATGGCTCAGCAAACTAATAAAGGTGTCTTGACATAGCACTTCTTTGTTCCCATCTCACCCCTAACAATGGCAGAGATGCGTGAATCCTACAGTGTTTTTAGAATGATTTAGTTAATTCATGGTTTCTGCTTGTGGCACATTCACTTTCCAAAAACATTTTAGCAACTTTTTTTGCCAGAAACTTTGGCTGTAACATCAATCTCTAAGTAAAATAATTACAGCAAGTGACATTATAGGTGCAGAAATGCACTTCAGAAGAAGTCCTCCACCTCTGTGGTCTTATTCTGACCTATTGGGTGTTCAATCAAGACATCTCAGCCTCCTTGTAACAGATGCTCTAGAAAAATTTCAGACCCAGAGTTATTGCTAGCAATTGTAAAAATAATTTCAATTAATAATGATATTCAATAAAATGACAATGTCTCAAGAGAAAAAATAAGCAAGTTATAAATGTTAGCGATACTTCCAAGCTGAAGGAAGCGATATTTCCAAGTCAAAGGTGTTTCATACCTTTGACTTCACACATGTTTGGAATTCCTAAGAAGTTACGAATTAAGTTCACGATCTTCAGCTTTCAAGCTTTTTATATACTTCCTAGGTATTCCCCATGAAACAGAGTGCCTCACAGCCTTTCCTCTCTTAGTCTCATGACTGTTCTATCAGTGGGACACTACTACAAAACTCTTTTAATACAATGAAAGTCAACAAGCCTTAGGGCCAGCGAAGAAGGTCTGAAAGCAAACTGTGCTTGTTTTCAGCCCATCACAGAATCACACAATGGTTGAGGTTGGAGGCACCTCTGAAGGTCATCTTGTCCAACCTCCCAGATCAAGCAGGGCCAGCTAAAGCTGGTTGCCCAGGACTGTGCCCAGACAGCTTTTGAGTATCTCTAAGGATGGAAACTTCATATTTTGGAAAAAGGTAAAGATCCTGGGAAAGGATGTACAATAGGATTTTTACAAAGAAACATACAGATTTGAAGAGTGTTCACTTCTAACTTTTTTCATAATGTTCTTTGTCTTTTTAAAAACAAAGCTGTTTCTTTATAAATAGAAAGAAACCAGCAATCTCTCCTTTTTCCTCTCGGTTTAAACTCTTACCTTGTCGTTGTTTATCATGAATTGTGGTCTTCATCCTTGAGGTGGCTGCATTGCCATCCACAGGGATGTGTTTGCTGTTCCCAGTGGTACAGCCCCTGGGATTCCCCCAGTGAGAGGTGCCAGAGCTGTGTGATCTCTGAACATGCTGGCTTTCACTACACAAGGGAGCAGTGCACAAAGCCGTGCACAGCAGAACCCTTCACAGATGACAAGAGCAAACCCAGGTACTATTAAGAAGGCTGATCTACACTCCATCAGGTGGCCCAAATGCTCTTGAAAACTGATGTCTCCATCAGTAGATGATTATCAAAGAACCACAGGGTAATTCAGGTTGGAAGTCACCTCAGGACATCGCTAATCCAACCTCCTGTTCAGCAAGGGCAGCTCTAGGGTCACACAAGATTGCTCAGGGCTTTATCCAGTTTGCTGTTGAAAGTTTCCAAGGATACATGTTGCACAACCTCTTCGGATCCCTGTTACAGCGCTTGATTGTCCTTACTGTGAAAAAGTTTCTTTTTATAACCAGTTTGAGTCTCACTTGTTTCAACTTATGCTTGTTTTCTCTCATTCTCCTGCCATACCACATTGTGAGAAGCTTGGCTCCATCTTCTTCTCCTCATGAAGTTCATGAACTTCTTCTCATGAAGTTCTCATGAAGTTCAACAAGGCCAAGTGCAAGGTCCTGCACATGAGTTGGGGCAATCCCAAGCACAAATACAGGCTGGGTGGAGAATGGATGGAGAGCAGCCCTGAGCAGAAGGACTTGGGGGTGCTGGTCAATGAGAAGCTCAATATGACCTGACAATGTGCGCTCACATCCCAGAAAGCCAACCGTGTCCTGGGCTGCATCCAAAGCAGTGTGGCCAGCAGGTCGAGGGAGGGGATTCTGCCCCTCTGCTCCGCTCTGGTGAGACCCCCCTGCAGTACTGCCTTCAGCTCTGGGGTCCTCAGCACCAGAAGGACATGGACCTGTTGGAGCGAGTCCAGAGGAGGCCACGGAGATGATCCGAGGGCTGGAGCACCTCTGCTGTGAGGACAGGCTGAGAGAGTTGGGGTTGTTCAGCCTGGAGAAGAGAAGGCTCCGGGCAGACCTTAGAGCAGCCTTCCCGTACCTAAAGGGGCCGACAAGAAAGCTGGGGAGGGACTTTGTACAAGGGCAGGGAGTGACAGGACAAGGGGTGATGGCTTTAGACTGGAAGAGGGAAGATTTAGATATGATATAAGGAAGAAATCCTTCCCGGTGAGGGTGGTGAGGGACTGGCAGAGGTTGCCCAGAGAAGCTGTGGCTGGCCCCACCCTGGAAGTGCCAGGTTGGATGGGGCTGTGAGCAACCTGGTCTGGTGGGAGGTGTCCCTGCCCAGGGCAGGGGGGTTGGAACTGGGTGGGCTTTAAGGTCCCTTCCAACCCAAACTATTCTGTGATTCTATGATTCTTGATAAGGGTACACAAAGGCTGCTCTTCTGCTGTTGGGTCTTCCTGAAACCTTTTCTTTTCCAGGTTGAACAAGCCTGTTTTTCTAAGCTTCTCCTCATGGAGCATTGCTCCAACCCCAGTCACCCTGGGAGCCATCAGCTGAACTCGCTCCACTTTGTTGATGCTTTTTTTTACACTGGGCCCCAAAACCAGATGCAGTATCTAGGTGTGGTTTAGGAAGTGCTGAGTAGATTGTGGGATAATCCTTTGGAGGCACAGTAGATCACTCTCCCGAAAGGTCAACCCAGATCCCAAACCAATGAATATCAGGGGAAGGAGGAAAGAGAAAAATGAAAATTATAGAGCATGTAAGTCTGCCCTGATTCATACCGTGCAAGTGGAAGTATGCTTGATGGTCTTAAGATGCGTAGGGAGAAGTTTCATTTAGTGTTAGGCCAGCGTAGGGTTTTATCCAGTTGGATCCTAAAAACCTTCAAGGATGGAGGCAGCACAGCCCCTCTGGGCAACCTTCCTTTGCCTGGCATGTGCTCCTGTTGCCCCTGTACACGGTGGCATAATATAAGCAAGTTTAGCTGTGAAAAAGAAATAAATTATTAGAGAAAAACAAGGAAATATGTGGAAAGCAGGCAATGAACAATGAGTTCAGTCAGGGAGGACAGAAGACAGCTCTAGGTGCTGCACTCGGGGACTCTTGCATCTTGCCCATACCTACCAGGTGTGCCGAAAGAGGTATCTTACCAAGGACACATGCTGTCTTGCATCAGGGCCTTCACATGACAGCAGTATTTGGTGGAGGCTGATGCAGTTTTTTCCAGTTGCCAGCTAATGCTGAGACTAACATGGCTGTCCTTTTTGTAGTCTGTACTTGTATAGCTTCAGTCTCCATGAAACACATCTTTTTATAACCTTTTCTGCTAAATTAAAGCACATTTTATTTAAAAATAAATACTTCCATTTAAGTGAGTTGCAAGTAGTTGCCATTTGGGACTTAAAGGCAATTTTGCCCCCTGTCATTTTTGTCATATTCTGTTTTATTAGAGTTTAGAAGGGTAAAAAATTTTCATAAAAATGAAAACAATCTGTACCTGCCTAATGTGATTTGTGAAGTGTGAATGAATTTTTCAGAAGCATGCTATGAATCTACACTCTTTTCAGATGGCTGTGGTACTGAGAAATGGCTCCTGTTCATTCTCCATATGTTCCTTTTTTTTTTTTTTCCTTTTGTGCCGAGAGAAAAATTAATAAAGAAAAATGAATGAACCATCCTCAAAATGCTGTATTGTATTTCCTAGCCGTCTACTTCTCAGAAAGACATTTAATAGAGCCTCAGAGCAGGGCGGCATGATGAATATCTCCTGGGTACAGATGAAAACTGCGTGGGATTCTCGCTCTCCATCTTGTTTTCCAAACTTTAGTCACGGAGTGTTGCTTTGCTGGGGAAGAGAAGGAACATGCCTTCTTCTTCAACGTGTGTCTTTGCCAATGGCTATGACAACTGTTTTCCAGCTGAAATGCCCGTTGCTGAAGCCCCAGGTCACCCCTGCCCTGCAGCAGAAGGAAAACCCCCACCAGAGCGTGGGGTGTCTGAACCCGTGTCTCCTCCGTGAGCAAGGCCAAGAGGCAGAGGTGGGGATGGACCCCCTTAGCTGGGGCCCAGATGGCTCCAGGAAGGGCAGGGAGGTGCCGGGTTCACTTGCAAACGGGACTGAAAAGGGAAGGGGTAGGACAAGGAGGGAGGGAGGGGAGGACAGGATGGGAGTGTGGTTTGCACTGTGGTGGGGAGAGGACTGAGAGTCACAGGAGTCTGGAGGTGCCAACAGCGGCAATGAGGAGTTGCATGGGACTGGAGCGGCTGTTGGAGATCTCCTGGAGGATCTCCTGGGGGACGTCCAAATATTCTCCTTCTCTCCTCTCCATATCCCCCTCTCCTTTCCTTCTCCTCTCCTCTCCTCTCCTCCTCC